AAAAATATATTTGAATCAAATATTTAAATAAATTTTTATTATAACGTTAAAAATTTAGTTAAAGAATTGTTGTGTAACATAAAATTTTAAAAGTATATGAAAATCATTTAGGATCGACATATCCTATGACTGATAACATATTATTGTAATTGCTGAATTGAACTTGAAAAATGATAGGCAAAACATTCAGTATTAGATAAACAAAGAGACATATCTACTTTTTTAAAAGATATAATTGTGAAGGAACTATAAATATAAAAATTCTTTTAGAATTAGATTTAATTGCAGTTAAATATTCTCACAAAATGTTACATCTGTGACTAAGTCATATTAAAACATCTTTAGAAATAAAAAAATTTATTCAAGATAATGTTAATTATTCTGCTTCTGAAATTTGTCATCAGATTTGTAAAAATCAAATTAATGGATATGAAAGTATAACTATTCAACAAACTTATTACTGGTGGTCAATAGAATCTCACAAGGCATATTCTTGAAATTCAGATCCTTTATTATCAGCAAAAATTTTATTAGAAGAATCCAATTTAGAAATTATAATAGATAGTCTTGATTCTTCTACACCTGCTCTTGGATTTTTAACAACATTATTCAATCGATTAATTTATAACAAATTTGATGCAATTGAAATTGATGCAACTTATGGAACCAATAATTTATCATGGGAATTATATACAATTATGGATGTAATTGATGGTACTGGATTTTCTCTTTAATTTCAACTGGAAGAAATCGGAATATAACAGAAATTCTCACACATTGGATGCAAGCTTTAAAAGAACGACATTTGAGATACTTCCCTTTTATTTTAACTGATAAAGATTATTCAAAGATAAATGCATTACAAACAGTATGGCCTGAAGCTCGTTTACAATTATATATGTGGCATGTTCGACGCGCTATTAAGTAACGATTAGCATCAAATAAAATAAGTGTATATTATACTTATAATCCTAAAATTGCATATAAAGAATGTTCATCAATAGATCCTAACGAGAAATTGTAAATAATTCAAATTCAGAAATATTTTGTCCTTTAAATTTGCGAAAAAATATAGTTAGGATTATAGAAAACCATTCAAGTAAGCATATGTTATTACCAAAGTCTGATGGTAGTTTTATTACAAATGCAGTTGAAATTTGGAAAGAATGTGTTGGTGAAATATTTCAATTCTGTAAAAATAATAATTTACTTCAATTATGGATATATCTTTAGAAAGAATGGTATTCAAGAGAAAAATGTATTTTATGGGCACGGTCAGCTAATGAAAATATTAGTCATATTAAAACAACTATGATTATTGAATCACATTGGTGACATATTAAACACGATCATTTATACAAATTTCACAAACCTCAAGTTGATCATTTATGTTATATTCTTATTAAAATGTTCTTACTCAACAATTATATCGAATTCAATTACTTCAATAAGGTTGATGTTTAGTACCATGGCGAAAAGAGTTTAAAAAAGAATGGAAAAACATGAAAAACAAAGAGTACAATCAAACAAATATTTTACTGATACTACTAGATGGATTTGCGCATGTCCTGCATATATTCGAAGTCATTTTTTTTTTGTGTAAACATCTAGTTAACTCCGTTGAAAAAGTTGATGCAATATTCTTTAAAAAAGTAATAATTAAAATATTTATAATTATGTAAATTATATTTAATATTATTTTATATTATACTTTAGGTACAACGAAATGAAATTATCCATTAATTTCATCTTATAAAGGCAAATTAGTTAATGTATTTTGTTTAGAAAGTTCTCAAAATCATAAAATTTCAAGCCAAGATTCTATTATCAAAAATGAAAATTATTATTTTATTGAAAGTAGTGATGAAGAACATGAAGAAAAAGATTTATATGAAATGGAGTTAGCTTATTTACATGGAATTTTGGACAAGGTATTTAAAATTTATGTACAATATAATGCTAATTGTATTTGCCGATTATGCTTTTTATTAAATTTTTAATCATATTTAAGACTAAGGAACTATTAGAAGAATCACGTAATCAACCAAAAAGAGATTTATGGTTAAAAAATATTCGCCCAAATTTCAAATCGTTGGAAACAATTGAGAAACGGTTTGTTAATAACAGTTCGTGAAAATTTTAAATTGTAATTGGTTCTATATTATACAAATTAAAAATATAAAAAGTTTTCTTTTTACAATATATACAGTATATACTGTATATAATCATTTAAATTTTATTGATAAAAAAATTTTGCGATCTTACCCAATAAATCAATTTCCGAAATCACGTGTTACCCGGTAAAAATTGTCCGGCTACCATTTTTTGGTGGCGACGCAAAATGTCCGGTCGTTGACTGTAGTTCAGGTTGGTTTTTACAAGCTATTTTTAGACTACTCCGACATTTTAAACATTTCTTTAAAGCAATGTCTTTACAAACTTTATTTTGTTTAGTAAAAGTTATGTTACACGATTAATAAAAAAAAGTAATCGTTTGTAAAAACAAATAAAAATAAATTATGAAAAAAAGAGAAAAAAAGAGTGGGAAACAAAATTAAATCAAACAAACGTGATATTAATTTTTGTAAATATAATTCCCAAAGATTAGTATCCGAAGTCACGTAAAATTAGGTAAGTCATAAATAAATGGGTAATGTTAAACAAATAAAAAAATCTAAAAATAAACTAATGCTGGCAATCACTCAATTCCTTATCATGAAATGACCAACTAATCTCGTTACCACGCAACTCAAAACATGAATCTGAATTTTGAACGTATTTATATCGATTGTCTTTAGGATGTAGTTGTGGGTTTAGATGAACACAATACACACTTGGGGCATCATACCAATCAAGTATGTGTTGGCTGGCGCAATTAACCCGTCCCTTATTACGTATCACTTTCCCATTACAATCCGTTACATATACGTTAAAGACTCCCGCGCAATTAGCTGCAATCCCAGTGTAGTATGCTATGCATTTTTTAAACGAGAACCATAGACAAAATCATTAAAACAGAAATCATCAAATATTTCAACATATAATCGAGAATAGAGAGCTTACCTTGAGTCATATGAGGAGTAACTATGAAAAAGATGAGAAAGATGAATATAAGGTTACGAGAGACAATAGAATATTGCATGGTGAACGTAACAAAGTGTTATCAACCAGAATGTAAAAAAAGATTATTATATTTTCAAAATATGGTATAACTTTTTTTTCTTGGTCTTGAGATTGTTGACCCGGTTTTCTTTATATACTCAAATACATGATGACAATCTGTTCTGAAAAATTTTTCTTTATCTCACTTTATTTATGATATTCGCTAATTCTGAATAGTTTTGTAACATGATTTTTTACATGAATCATTATAATGAACATATGTTAAGGAGTCATTTCACATTCAAAATTCTTTATTTGTTTTGATTTTTCGTATCATGATTTTTACATGAATCGAAACAATGAATGTTCTTAACATTAAATAAAAGAAATGAATTCGTTATTTATTATGCCATATTTATTCCATGATATTATATAGATAGTGTGGGATTTGCAGATTTTCTAATTAAGTGTGAAACCATTTTGGATGTTCACAAAGGATATTATTTGATGACATATGTTCAAATTAGGGATTGGAATCGATTCTAAATTAGGATTCTAATCGAAAATCGATTTGAAATCGATTAAAAAGTGTCTTAACTATATGGAGTGGTAGTTGAATTTGAAAATATATCAAATTATATAATTATATTAAAAAAATTGACTTTCGCGATAAATTATTATCATTAAAACTAGTCGTTTTAAGTCGTGTTAGTGAACCCCCAGGGCATCGCCGGGTGAAATAGATGTTGAAAACATTTTTTTTTAAAGTTTAGCATATATATAACTAAGAAATTTACAATTTATTGATGTATTTTATAAAATAATCCAACACCCTAATCCAAATCTTAACGCTAAATTATCATTGGTATTTATAAAAACTTAATCTGACTCTAACTTTAACCCTAATCTTAATTTTAACATTAACAATTGTTTAATTTTTAAAAATTTAAAAATTTTTTTATATACGGGTTTTTATTTTTATCGTTATATTTTTTTTTATTTTTCTAATTTAATTTTTTTAATTTAAAATTTTAACATTAAATTTTTTTAATTTGATTTATTTAATAATAATATTTTTTTAATTCCGAATTTCTACCCTCCGCGAATTTTGATTTTTTTTTTTTTTTAATCGCAATTTTTTTTTTATAATTTTATAATTTTGAATTTTTTTAAAATTTAAATACCCACGATTGTTTTTTTTAAAAGTTTTTTTTTTTATAATCGCGGGTTCTAATATTTAATTTATATTTTTTAATTTGCATATATATATATTCCCTATTTTTTAATTTAATTATTTTATTTTATTTTTGGATTTAATTTATTAGGGTCTCCCAAGCACCTAACACAATGGATCGGATCGATCGATTATATCGAAATCGATTCCAATCCCTAGTTCAAATTAATTAACCTCACAATGATCCCAAACACCTAATTTCTCTAAATTTTCGCTTTTTATATTAGTCCCATGGTAAAAACCTTTTATTGTATCACTTCTAAGTTTTCCAACCCCAAGTTTAAGAATTTCAACGGATACAATAGTACACATCTGACCTAAATTACTAGGTAAAGGGAACCGTTGTAATGTTCGAAGCGTTAAATTATAATGTTACAGAAAAACAATTTAAGAGTAACCACATCTGGAAATCAGATCATGTGACAAGACAACATCTTATTGGTCGATCACGCGTGCGGACAGACATCAAAATGAGTCTAACCGAAGATGTCCGAAGCGTAGCTGAGGACAAATAACCTTTCGAATTCATAATTATATCAATTATATTTGTAAAATTACAGAAATGATATATGAGAATTTTTGTCTCGAGCCTGCAATCAAAAAATGTTAATAAAATCTCTCTAATACATAAAGTGTTGATTATCAAAGAATTATTGTTTTTATCTAACCGAAAGAACCAGAAGAGCTTGAAGATGAATTAGTTGAAGAGCCTTGCGAATTAGTTTCAGATTCATTGGTTGAATTAGCTTCAGATTCATTGGACCCACTTTGTTGATCAAAATCGAAGTTCATTAAAGAAAATTGTTTTTTGTTAGCATAAATCAACATGCATCACCGAAGAATAAGAGAATAAAAAATATGAAGTTAGTGTGCCACAAGACAAAGGCGAGTGCAGACATAATTCAGAGCGAAATAACTGTAAAGTAAAAATATAGGATAGATTATTATCTTTTATAGTAAAACGTTTATTTATTAAAACCAGATCTGTGATTCTTTATATATACACTTATACGTCAAGAATTTTGTATTTTACCCATTGATACTTGTAAAATTAGAATAGTGAACCTGCACTAAATATAAATAATTTTTTTTTAAAGACACGGTAATGCTTTTATTTATTAAGAATAATCATAATCAGTAAAAAATTTTACATGAAAATCCTTTAAGGAGGTACAGATATAAAAAAATAAAAAAGCTGCCTAATAAGAATAAAAAGTTCTAAAACCCTATTTTATCAAACCAACCAGTTGTCCCATTAAGTTCTAGTAATAATTACTAGAAGAATTATTATTGTTACCTAACTATAAAAATTAGATGTATGACACTAGTTATTATTGTGTTAACAAAGAAGACTGAGAATGATCCTGTATATGAGAATTGTTTTTTTGCAAGTGCATATTAGTTTAGCATAGTAGTAATTGTTTATATTTGGGAATTAAAATTAAAAAGTTTTCTTGCATTTTGTTAAAGCGTTCTGAGAGAGTCTCATGACTTGATAGTTTAGCTGATTGTTTTAAATTTCATTTGTATACATGATAATAATGTTAGAAACAGAGGGTTATTATCTGTAGGTTTAGATTATTAGTATAGTAGTTCTTTGGTAACAATTTGGTCAGATGATGTTACATCATTATTCTCATCAAGGATATTCATAAAGAGTTTGAGTTTAGTAAGATGATAGTCAATATCTCCTTGATTTCTTTGTTAAGATAGGACTTCCTCTTTAATATCATTAAACATATCAGAAAAAAGCTTGAAATTATTTTCTAGATCTTTAAATTTTTTGATTAGTATAGGAATTACTTCTGAATGATCAAAAGATGATGGTAATTGATCAGAAATTGTGTTTAATAGCTGCTTATTGTAAACGGATGATTTTGATTTGATAGTATCTGTATATGAAAAGTTATCTTAAATATTAATGAATATATAAGGATGTAGAAGTCTATATTATTCAGGTTTAAAGTGATCATAAAAAGGTTTATAAGGATTAGATGAGCTTCTTTTAGAGCAATCTTTGATTTCATGATCAAGTGATCTGCATTTTCTACAATATTTGTCAGCCAGATCTATTCAATATAGTATATTACCCTTGAATTTATGTTGTTAAGTAGCGGCTGTATTCATTTCTTCTGAAGATATAAAATTAATAAATGCGTATAGTTTTAAACAATATTGTGTATTGCAAAAGATAAAGCAAGATTTAGCTTTGATATTAGTTAAAAAATCATGTAAAGATCTTTGATCTGTATTAAGGAATAAGCCAGTAAGTTTAAGTTCAAATTGTTGGTAGAGAGTAGTTTGTATAGGATTTAAGTCAGTTGGTTCAACTCTTAGTGCAAATTTGAGAAAGGAAACAAACTAATAACTATTATAAAAAGTTTTGATTGCATCACTATGTTCATATACAATAAAAGCAATTTGTTAAAGTCCTCTAATAATCATTAAAAAATGAGTAATTATATCAAATTTAGAAAAGAAGTTTCTAACTATATCAGATTTAAAAAAAAAGGAAATGTTTGATACTTTGATTGTGTAATCTTTTTCAATGTCAATTTCCATTTATTTAGCATTAAAATCAACAATTAAGAAGATTAGATTATGTTGTATTTCTTGTACCTTTGTGACAGCATGTGTTAAATTATCTAGAGTATCAAAGTATATGATAAATTTTCTATTTTTAGAAAGATAGTTTGATCCTTGAAATCCAGTAAAGTAAATAAAGAGTGTATTGATGAAGTTACATTTTTCTGCAATAGATTTTCCTTTTATGTCAGCTGTATTATCAGTTGCATAAAACTGTATGAAGTTTCAATCGTCCATTTCATCTGACCAAGTTTGCTTATATTTTTCTTTAGAAATAGAAGTAATATTTGCACTTTTTGATTTGTCAGTATTGTTTAATTTATATTGATGTGCATGTACTGAGTCATTTATAATGAGAGAGAAAGTTTGTTATGATATATGTTATATTATTGTTATCAAGTTAAAAGTTGAAGTAATAGTATTATCAATATCCATTTCTATAGTTTTAATTGTATCTTTGCTAGTAGTGTTAGAAGGTATTTCATTTTCAGTACTTTTGGTAAGAATAATCTTATCTGCAATTTTGAAGATGTTATTAGAAGAAGAAGTTTTCATGTTTTCTGAAGAAACTTTTATTTTTTGTTATTATTTTCATTAGTATTTAATAAAGTTTGTTCACTAGACTCTGTAGAAGAATTAATAAACTGTTTATTGTTATTTCTAGGTGGTGTTCGTTTGTTTTTATTATAAGGTTGAGAGATATTTTAAATATAATTTTTTGCTCTAGTTTCTGATATTATAGAGTCAGATAAGTATTTGTGTTGATCTCCACATCAGTAAATTTAATAATGCGAAGTATTACGTAAACCCTACGCTTCGTAATCTTACGTAAGGTTACGAGCCCGTC